TAAAATGTTAATAAAATATACATAAGAATCAGCGACCTAGAGCCCATTTGGTAACACTGAAATCGGCTGATTCTGGTGAAATTTATGGAGTTCTGACTAAAGTGACTGTATTGGTTGATTATGCTGATTTATGAAAAAAATTGTATTTAAAATATACTTTAATAATAAAATAAAGAAGTATTAATAAAATAAAGAAACAATTACATGAAAATATTGAAAATGATCAACTTTATACTGCAGTATTAAGAGTAACAAGTCACAAGGGTTTGAAAATATTGATTTGCGGTGAAGATGGAGAGCAAACTCATCATTCCACCAATGTTGTTTTATAGGAAGTGTTTCGAAATGTATAGACTGTGGAAATCTTATACTACGTATGACATTTATTTATTTCAACTTATTCTAAAACATTATTACTACCAATCTATGAATCCTCACTGTCATTTCTTTAATTATAATTTACTATGCATATTATGCCTTTATCGATTTTCATTCATTTACACGTGAACTAATGTATTATTAACAAATAGTATCATATAGCTTTTACATTTTCATGTCCCGTGCATCGCACGGGTGAGAATCTAGTTTTGTGCAAAGGTATGATGAGTTCAAATGGAAAAAAGTTATTTTTTAACCGTGAGAATGATATGTTTGAGTGTACGAGGGTGAGACAATTAAAGTTATAGTATAAATGTGTAAAGTACTAAAGTTTCATCTTTCAAATGATTTTCTTCTAGCACTTTCCATGGGAAAATATTTGCTACTATATATAATACGGACCTTTTCCAATTCATTTTTTTTTATTTTATTAGATGGTCTCGGCAGTATATATATTTTGACATCTAAACTTAATTGGATTCAGTTCATGACTCGTCACTTAAAGAATTATTGGCTCGTTCAGCATTTTAAGTGATTAGGTATCGCATCATCCAAGCTCTTCCGAAATAGGACTACTATAATTTTCTTGCCGAAATAGAAATAATATGACATTATTTGATTAATTTTCATCTTATAATCATTACAGTCAAATAGTTGTATTATTAGACATTCAACATGACAATATTTATTGTCGTTAATGACAGTATTTTTTAATCATTTAATTATTTTTCAAACATGACAATAGCGTCTCATATTTCGGGAAGAAAAACATAACAGTTCTGATCTAATTGGAAAAAGAGTCAAATTGGACATGATGGCTACATGTGAATCTCATATTAGACCCTAAAGTTTTTGATGAAGTATATTCTCATATAACCCAGGGGTATCAACATTCACGAACACAGAAGTCTCTAGAAACACTAAGTCACTATTCCGCCGAGGCGGACCTCAACCTACCAAAGGTTGGTCCGAACATTCAACTTCCAGATTATCGGGATAAGACCGAAAGTGAGGCCGAGATCGACCCCCACCAAGGTCGTTACCAGACCCAACGTCTTACACGGGCGCAAAGGCAACTGGCAAACTTGGAAAGTCGACGAGATAAGGGAATCACCATCATGAGGCTTGCAACAAATCGGGTGTACTCCGTCTGTAATAAGCTTGCTACACCCGAGCTCGACCTCACACGCTGAGCTTGGGGCCTCGTTGATCGATTATGGACTTAGACATTTTAACAATCAGATACCACACAGGACTGCTGCCACATCACTTGAGCGACAGCTGTCCAAGTAAGGATGGACTCGGGCCGGGCCAACCGGCCCGGAACCGGACCGGCCCGCTACTGTGCGGGCCCGGACCGGCCCGGTTAACCGGTTCGGTTCCGGTTCGGGCCTCCCGGCCCGGTGGTATACCGGTCCGGGCCCGGGCCTCCAGTTTAGTGAACCGGCCCGGCCGGGCCGGGCCCGGTTCGGGCCGGAATTTAATTTTTTTTTTTTTTTGAATTTTTTTTTAAGTTTTGGGTTGGATTAGGTATTTTGGGCCATTTGGGGTGGTTTGGGGTGGAGGGGGAGGGGTAGGGGGTTAAATAAGAGAAGAAGAAGAAAAAAAAAAATAAACATTCCGGGTGGCCCGGCCCGGCCCGGCCCGGTTCTGGCCCGGAACCGGAACCGGAACCGCCCACCACCGGTTCGGGCTCGGGCCTCCTTTTTCTGAACCGAGGCCCGGCCGGGCCCAGGCCCGAACCGGGCCCGAACCGGAACCGGTCCACCCCTATGTCCAAGGGCCATGACACCTTGGTGGTTGCTACACAAGAATATTCCAGATAGCACACGTGTGACGTACCTGTGCATTCTGGTACACAAAGGACAACTCTTTTACACATAGTATCAATCAGCTAGTTATCCAAGAGTTCTCTCCAATCAACTTTACACATGTCGCCACTTCATTAGACTAGTACATTTATTCTTGTTAGCCAAGATATGCACGTGTCCTCACCACAATAGAATATCATCTTCTTATTTATTGGCCAAGTATTTCCTCCTTAGTATAAATATTACTTTCAGTATCACTACTTTCTCGAATTCCGTCTACCCCCTAGGTCCGTCTACCCCCTAGGTCAGAGATCCATCAATTTTGAATGGACCAAATTGGACAATATGGTTACATGTGTATCTCATATCGAAAACTAAAGTTTCAAATGGATCAAATTTAATGTTTTTCTGATCAGTTTTGGACACCCACCAAAGATTTCACATTTGAAAGGTATAAGTATTCCTTTTCCCCTTTGTTTTATTTACCTAAAAATAAAAATAACTTAATTTATGTATTTAGATTTAGAATATATAATTAGATGTTACAATTAAGAAAATCTATTATAATGTGCTTGAATTCTTTAATTCTTTAATATTGTTTAACCAATTTAACAAATCGATATTTTTCAAAGTTCCATAAAAATCATATGAATGACAACTTCTAATTTTTTTTTTTGAATCAACTTCTAAATATATTTCTAAATTGTTAAATATAAAAATTTATTAATTAAGATCAAATTATATATTCTAGTACCTCAAATTAAATAATCCAGAATTATATACATAAACTAGATTAAGTTTATTCATACAAAAGAGGAAAGGAAAGATAAAATTAACGATTTTTATTAAAGGATGACTAGAATCATAAGTGAGTGTCTAAAAACTACTATGAATTATGAAATTTTAGTGTCTAATTTGAGATACACATGTAAGCATAATGTCCAATTTGGTCCATTTGAGACCTTAATGTCCAATTCTCGTATAACTAGTCTCCAATTTGACCCTTATTCCGTTCTATTTTAGAATTTCAAAACTCATTTGCTCATATGTAAGAAAATTCCTCTAATAAATTTCATTATTAAACAATCCATATTAAACAATCCATACCACATAATTTCATTTGTCTTCGGATTAGGTAAAGAAATAAGTATCGTTTATCCATGTAATTTTATATTTCCTTGAATGAAAAAATTCTAAATCAACCTATAAGCATATACAGAAACAAATTAAACTGCTTTATCATGTACGGAGTATGTATGTGTATTAGTTTGTGTATAAATATGCATGTAACACTCATGGTAAGCTCATACAGAGTATATAATAAGCCCAAATCAGAATCGCCTAAATCATCCGATAATCATGAGTTTTGTTGACAAAAACCCATATTTTTATTCATCTTTCATGGTTTTACTCTCTTGTGCTATAATAGCAATGCAGTTAGGAGCGGTAAGTGCTGGCCACAGAAAGGTTGTTAGGATTCTTGATTTGATCCCACCAAATAACAATGTCCAGCCTTCTGCAGGAGAAGTATTCGCGCATTGCAAGTCTAAAAACAATGATTTAGGGGTGTGGAATATGACCCAAAATACTGAGAGGGAAATCCACTTCCGCCCCAATATTTGGAAGACTACTCTTTTCTGGTGTGACTTTCGTTGGGGTACAAAGGCCCAAGGCATCATCGTATACGACGCCAATGATGTTTCATGCAACGGGGAAAGGTACTGCAATTGGAACGTGAAGACAGATGGGTTTTACTTTGCCAAAGGGGAGTTTCCTAAAGAAGGCGATTTTACAAAGAAGTCTGATTGGAGAGGCGCTAGGAAACACCGTCATAGCCACCACCGTGGGCGCAGGCAGCGCCACTAGATCAATGCATGCGGCGGTAGCCTGGTAGTGTGCTATTCTGCAATGAATATATACGGAGTATATATACTAGTATTGTCTAATAAATAAATGAAATGTGCTACCAATGCATAATACTAAAGAATGATTGCATTATTAAATGTGTCAACATAAGAGATAATAATATATATCTATAAATATATATATATATATATATATATATATATATATATATATATATATATATAACACATTATGATATCTCTTCGTCCCCATACATACATCTTTATCTTTATATATTGAAAGCAAACTTGCTAATAATTTTCGTTAAATGGCCTCTCATTATAAGGAACATGAAATCTTTTTCGAGTAAGAGTAAATATGATAGTAAATAAATGTTCCTCGGAAAACAAATAAATGTTCCCCAGAAAACAAATAAATGTTTTCTTGATTACATTGTCTCTCACTAATTTTCGATGAAATCAAATTTAGATGTTAATTTGCTGGGATTTTGGATTGTTTTTTTTGCTTGGGACTAATTTCTAGCCTCCTTGTTTTAGTGAAAACTTTCATGTGATTATTGAAAAACAAAAAGAATAAGCAGTGTAATAAATATTCCCCGGAAAAAAAATAAATACAATATGACAACTATTATAGCTACTAATTTTCATGACATGTGTTGGGCGATTGAGTTCATGCTCAGTAAATAAATAAAAAAACATAACAATTTGTAATGTGGGCAGTTCAGTTCCTTAGGAGACAACTCCTGTTTGAAAGCATTTTCTGATAGTCACCAAGCCAAATACCTCAATCAAGTAGGCCGTTAACCTCCCAAGAAAATAAAAATAAATTCACCAAAATAATTCATGTGTTCTTGTAGTTACCTATAGGGCTTCATTTTGAACTTCTTAACAACCGATGAATGTGTCACAAAGTATATATTCCTTCCCTTTGCCTTGGAGTCCAAAATGTCAGATAGCAATGCCACAAATAAAATTCTTATTTTTTCATGAAATCTTATATAAGTACATCGGCGGAGTATATGTTCACAATATGAGTATTCGAAATCTAATAAAATGACATACAACCCTACTTAAAAATGTTGTACACTTGTACCAAGTGAAAGAAAACAGTGAGTAACTTCCCAGAGGTAGTCCTTGCACCATCATAAAGTATAGCTTGGTCCTTGTCAGTCCCAAATTCTGAAACTATAAGAACCCTTGGATATTGAACCTGCTCATTAGAAACTGTAAATTAAACTCTCATCCGGATGATCAGATCTCAAACCACCTCAAACCACCTGAGAAATCTGTATGGTAAATGCCCGAAATGATTAGGGAGCAAAAAACAAATGCTAATGAAAATAAGTTTTTATGTTTGATTTTAACTTGGAAATTTCAAAATGAAAATGAGATATAATTAACTTTCTAAATTATATTTAGACTTTGTAAACACAATCATATACACCATGACCATGATCGCATTAATTCTTATCAAGTCAAATGACACTTCATGAAAAGGTCAAGTTTTTATAAGTAAAAACAATTTGATAAAAAAACAAGAATAATGAAAAGACATGGGTAGCTAATAGGTTATGTTAGAGCTGGTAGTGTTATGGTAAGTTTTGACTGATTTGCTTGATATCAGAAACATCATTGAAGCTCTACTGTCACTTTATCACTGGTTTAAACCTCACGAACCAATCTATCACCGTGAAGCTCTGATAAACAGTGAACATAAAAGGTAAATATTATGAATATGTGAAGTTCGTAATAGGGAAACAAATTTTGGTTATGAATAACAAGCTGGAGAAGTGCAGAATTTGATAGGTAACTAACAGCAACTTGAAATAACACAAGCACTTCATGTTTTAAAAATTTAAACAAACTTCAAAATTTTCAAACGCTAATTATTAAGCAGGAACTTAAATAATGAGCAACATTACATTTGTCATGACACTGCCAAAAAATTAAATTATGCACCATTTGTTAGCAATAGAGACCATGAAAATAAAGGAAAGGGAAACTTAATGGTGGGATCGTTAAAAAATTAAATAAGGCACCAGTAGTTAGCAATAATGACCATTACATCCAATCATGGAAGTAATGGTGGACTCATACGAGTTCTAATCTTTTAGGTTGAACAAAACGAAGAAGCAGAAAAAAGCATTGTTATAAATCTATTTAATGCATGAAGATTATCACAACCTGAACTTCAATGAGCCCACCTTAAATACTGCATCAGGCACACAATTGGTTGCGGAATTGTGAAAGAAAATGAGTTGCAAAGATTGGATTTTTTATGGATTACTTTAAGCACGACTGTGTTGGAAAGCAAGTGAAAGTTTGACTTTCGGAATCAATCTCTTTGATGAAAAAGGATAAAAGATAAAAGTGTTTTCTGTAAAAAGATCATGCTATCAAAAAGAGATCAATCTCATAAGTATACAACTTATGAATACATCAATCTGGCATAGGCATACTTCTTCCAAATTTTATACCTTCAGAGTCCATTGACTATTTGACACCCCAGCAGTCCAGCCTAGCATGTAACGTTGGAAAAATGATTGCATTACAAATTTACAATTAGGCATTGGTTAGCAAGAACTAATTGGAGTTCAATAACAGGGAATCAGTCCACATATAAGAACCTATTGAAGCCAGCACACTCATGCAACTTGTTTGATACTGGTGAAATATTGGTAACATGTGGAGTCAATAAATATAGTACTCGACAATCTACATGTAAAGAAAGATTCTGAATCAGAAAAAGGGGCAGCTCATTTGCAACGATACTGAAATCTTGATTAATTGCTACACGTCAAGGTATAGGGAACATTATGATATGGAAAGAAGACGCTCAATATTACTATCATTATTATTATTATTCATTATTATTAGTTTCCTAGAGTAAGTTTCCTAAAGTATTGGGTGTTAGTTTCCTAAGGTTATTATTAGTTTCCTAAAGTATTAGGTGCTAGTTTCCTAAGGTTATTATTAGTTGCAGTTTCCTATTAGTAGAGATATTCTATTTTAGTTAATTTCCTAATAAAAGTATTGTAATAGAATTAGGATTACTCTAATACTAGACCACCAAGACTCTTGGTACTAGTATAAATAGAGCTGCCATATTAATGAATAAAATCATCAATCTTATGGAGAATAATTCTTCTTGTGCGCTCGGTGGAACCGACGGACACTTCCTTGCCTAGGGCGGGAAGCTGAGTTGTTTTTCCAACTATCATTCTTCTTCTTTTTTATCTCCCAACCCCGCCCGTAACAATTTGGTATCAGTATCCAGGCCGATGGGGAACGATCACGTCACCGCAGAGACACTAAAAACCTTCATGGCAGATATTTACCAGCGACAAGGATCGCTTGAGGCAAAAATTACAGAACTCGTGACATCTTTTTCCACACAGCTTGCTGCCCTGACTAGTAAATCTGCAGGTCCACACACTGACTCCAACAGCAACAGACCCTCCAGATGCCAGGGTGAGAATATGGAGTTTCAGGAACACCACCATCGAGTTCATAGCGCGAATAACATTGTGCCCCACTATTCCAATATCGATTTTCATAGTTGTTGTTCTATGAGGATATGTTACGAGGTTCCATCACCGGGAGATAAATTATCCCAACTTCAGCAAATAGGTACTCTAGATGAGTATATTAGCCAGTTTCAGTGTTTATTGGCACGCACAGAGGGCTTACCTTCACAGACTCAAGTGAACGTCTTTGCAGCAGGACTTCAAGAAGGCATTCGTCTTGCATTGGAATGTCAATACCCCGGCAGCGTGGATGTGGCAATCAGTTTGGCAAAAGCTATTGAGCGAAAGCAACACTCACAATATGATTCTCTATCTCCGCCAACAACAGCCCCGGTGGCGACATTGCTGGAAGCCCCTCCACCAAAATGTCAATTTTTTCCTGTGTGGTCGTCAGCATCTCCACTGTTCCCACAACCATTGTTGGATAAGCAATCCTTGCTATTCACACCACCGCCAATTTTGTCACTGCCAACAGAACAAGTTTTTTCGCAACAAGCCAATCTTACACTGTCAACAACACTCTTGTTGGTGGAGCTGACACCACCAGTGTTGGCACCTTCATCCTTCTCTCCTGCATATTTGCTGCCCACAACCAAGATACACGAAATAATATGGACCTTCCTAGCAAGAGAAAATTTTGAGAAATCTGGCCAGATATTGGGACATTCGGCCATTACTCATAGTCATGCGGCTACAACCAACATGGTGATGATTGATCATATAATGCCGTTTGATCGTGGAAGACTGGTTGTCATGATATATTAGCTTCAAGCTTGAGGACAAGCTTGATGTTCAAGAGGGGAGTAATGATATGGAAAGAAGACGCTCAATATTACTATCATTATTATTATTATTCATTATTATTAGTTTCCTAGAGTAAGTTTCCTAAAGTATTGGGTGTTAGTTTCCTAAGGTTATTATTAGTTTCCTAAAGTATTAGGTGCTAGTTTCCTAAGGTTATTATTAGTTGCAGTTTCCTATTAGTAGAGATATTCTATTTTTGTTAATTTCCTAATAAAAGTATTGTAATAGAATTAGGATTACTCTAATACTAGACCACCAAGACTCTTGGTACTAGTATAAATAGAGCTGCCATATTAATGAATAAAATCATCAATCTTATGGAGAATAATTCTTCTTGTGCGCTCGGTGGAACCGACGGACACTTCCTTGCCTAGGGCGGGAAGCTGAGTTGTTTTTCCAACTATCATTCTTCTTCTTTTTTATCTCCCAACCCCGCCCGTAACACGTTAACACTACCCTTATCATTATTGCAATGCTCTTTATGTCAAAAACTTTCCTGATCATTCTTTCTGCAGTAGAACTCTCTTTTTTGTTCAGAAAAATTAATAGTTTTTGGTAATAGGACTTGCACACAAAAGACATGAGAATATGATAGCAAAGAAAAATTAATAGTCTCAAACTGAATAGGTGAAAAGGATGTCCAATATAGCATGGTATATTGGATGTCCACGACTATTGTGAACTTTTGTCACTGACTATGGTCGTGGACTATTGTGAACTTTTGTCACTGACTATTGTCACAAAAAAGTTCACATAAAAATTTAGTCCCCCAACTATTATGTCACTGACCCTTTTGGTACTTGATTTCTAATTTTTCCATTTTTAGTCTTTGACTATTGTGCTAGAGACACTTTTAGTCCCCGACTTCAAGATTTTCCACATTTAGTCTCCTGACTATTGTCAAATTGACACTTGTAGTCCTCCCATTATGATTTAGACACAATAAATGGAGGACTAAAAATGTTACTATTATAATATTTTAAGGACCAAAAGTGTAAATTTATGAAAGTTGAAGGACTAGATATGGAAACTTTCAAAGACGGGTACCAAAAGTGTCTCTAGCGCAATAGTCGTGGACTAAAAATGGAAAAAATCAAAGTCGAGTACCAAAAGTATCAATGACATAATAGTCGGAGGACTAAAAGTGGAAATAACTCTTTCACTTATTGTCCACCTCAACCTAGAACTCTAGAAGTAATTCATATTTGTACATTCCAAGTAAGAAATTGCTGTTAAGATGCCTTAAAGCCAAACATATAGTTTATGTTTTTAACATGGGAATAATGCCTTTGATCTTTCCAGTATACAAATGGGGGCAACTCTACTGAAGCAAAGAAATCAAACAAGACAATAAGAGAGGCATATATTGATAGTTTGTTTCGGTAATTTTTCATATCTAGAAATGGAGTACATATATCTTGATACATATTCTTAAATGTCTTGATGGAAAATGTTGAAATAACAAGCTTTAGTTACTTTAGCATATACCCGGATGGATTTTTCAAAATGCTAAAAGATATGTTAAAATAGAGTAGAAACCATCTGATAATTTAAAATTTTAGCTACCACCTAATTGATGAAAATAGGCCATTTCACTCTCTCTAGCCAATCAAATGTCATTCTCCCTGCTTCCTCTAATTTGAATAACTCCACGCATACAACACCTAAATTAATCAAATACTTTTGTTTGAACAGTACTTTGTTTGTTAGCAAAAATGGGTGAATAAACACATACAAAAAATAGATGGTACGAGATAGAAGGCTTACCCAGAAAAGGGTGCTGTGCACTGGAAGTGACCCCCCTCTGCCACACGATGGAAACATGTTTCTAAGGGAAATATGGGGCGATTGAGTACGTCTGGGTACCAACTCCCACTAGGGCGCCCACCGTCGATAATTCAGATCGATAGGATTAGAACTTGGAAGTCAAACAAAGACGAGACGGAAAGAAATACACATTACAAGGATACTAACGGAAGACGACGATAACATTTTGAGTTTTAATTAACGGAAGCAGCAAGTACCGGACAGAGAAAACATGCTTGGTACACTGCTTTAAGCCTTTAAGCAGAATTCACAATTTATTAATGCTATAGAGTTACACCAACAAAATTTTTATACCCAAAAGGGTATTAACCCTCATTCATTCTTATTAGTTTGTAGAGATACTTTCTTGAGTAAATATGATAGAAAATAAATAAAAAAAAGTTACCAAACAGTCACTGTGAAATCAACAAAACAGGTTAGCTCAAGACATTTGTATATAGTAATATGGAAGATGAAATACAGATCAGATCATGGAGGTTGGTTGAAAGCTATGCCCAAACGACTATAAAGAACAAGTCACACAAAAATAGGGTTGTTTCCACTAAAATTTTAAATTTGTGGGTCTCATTTTTATTTTGTTATTAGTAAATTAGGATTTACCATTCAATACGAACATAGGCAAACAAAAATAAAATACAAACCTTTCTAGGAGAAGGTTTAAAATCACGACTTTTTGTCATTTTCTTGTATATTCATAAGCATATGCATCAGAGGAGAATCTGGTCCATTTCGCAAGATTGTCTCGAGTATAATCTGACATGTTCTACTGTCAGGTGAGGGTCCAAGTTTTTTCATTTCCCCCAAAAGTAATACATCATTACAATGCCGTTCTTTTTCACTAACCCACAAATGAGTACGCTGTATACCATAATATCTGACATGCAACCATTTTCCTCCATTTTCCTCAAATATCTTTAGCATCTTCTATCCAGCTTTCTCGACAAAGTCCAATTACAGTACTTTTACAAGTTACGACGTATAATATTTGGCTGGAAATGTTTTGAGGGAAGGGCATTCCATCATATGTACCCCTCGACTGAATTCGAGGAGGAACATCACTACCCCTCAGCTCACATCAAGATTGGGTTTCACAACGAAGGCCGCCGTGACAACGAGACATTCGACGGAGTATTGGGAATACTAACCCACACGTTCTCGCCAAAATCAGATGATCCCGCATCCTGCCCGATCCCAACAATGGCTGACAAAGAGTCATATTTAATATCAATTTTTTCCCAAACTTTGTCCTTAGCCTGAATAAGAGCTCCCCTGATCCCCATCTCCTAGGCCTCTCTAGGAAGGAGAGCACACCATCCATTGTTTAGCCACTCCCCCATGTATTGCTATTATGTGAAAGGATTTAGTGTTTTGGGTCTAGGATAATATGCAGTTTATGCACTTGGTATCAAATTCCATTGCACATTGGACTTAAAAGATGCCGGTGGATCTGATTTTAGATTGTAAATTCTTCTGAATGTAAACATCTCTTTCCCATCATGGGCTACTGTTGCAAGATGGGGAAAAACTTGTGAAGTTGCCAATAATAGACAGTGGATATACGCGGAGTTTAAAAAACATTTTTAGACCTAAATGACTCAATCCAACTATGACCACACCCTTTCATTACCTGTCTCTCTTTCATGAACATCCTCATTCCCTTAACGTCTTTCCACTTTTTATAAGAAGCATAAACATTAGACATCAATACATAAACATAATCACTCTCACCTTCCAACCCTATCACCTTTTCAGCTGCAACTTCTGCAACTTTCATATCCCCACAAGTCACACAAGCTCCCAATAGAGCTCTCCAAACTAGTGCACATTTCTCAAATCCCATCTCTTTGATCATATTCTCACCACCTTCCACCTCTCCTTCCCTCCCCATGAGCCTAATCACAGATGAACAGTGCTCGGCTGTGGGCGTGATCCCGTAGTCCTTCACCATTGACTCAAAGTACTTCTTTGCAACCTCCATAGGTACCTTGTTGTGCCAACAAGCAGACAAGATATTGAGGAAAGTGATTCCATCTGGCTGTAAATCTAAGGTCTTTTTCATTCGCTCGAATAGACGAAGTACCTTGTTTGAGTCGCCATTATTGGCATATCCAGATATCATAGCATTACAAGTCACCAAATTCTTACTAGGGAGAGTCTCAAACAGAACCTCGGCCTTATTCACATCCCCACATTTAGAATACATATCAACAAGAGCACTTCCAACAACTACACTTTTATTCAACCCATTCTTCACTGTACAACAATGGATCAATCTTCCCCATGTGATATCTGCAACACTAGCAGTACCACTTAAAATGCTTGAAAATGTGAATTGGTCCATCCTAATGCCACTAAAGTGCATTTTAGAAAAAAACTCTAGAGCTTGGTCTCCCCTGCCTCTGTTAACATAGCAAGTTACGATAGAATTCCATGAAGATGAGTTCGCGTTGGGCATTCTTGACAAGAGAGCAATTGCTTCTTCGATCTCACCAAACTGAGCAATTCCACTTATTAGCTCATTATAGGTAATTGAATCCGGATGTGGCATTTGGTGTAGAAAAATGAAGGCTTGTTCGAGCCTCTTATTTTGAGCATTTGCTGCTATAACTGAATTCCAGGAAATTGTGTCCTTAGCGATCATACCATTGAACACCCTGATTGATCTGTTGGGGTGTCCACATTTTCCATACATGTCAATCAAAGAGTTTCCAACTACTACACTACAATCCATACCAAGCCTCACGATCTTGGAATGTATAGACTCGCCAAAACGTAGCAAACTCAACTGCCCGCAAGCTGATAAAGCAGGTGTAAAGGTATAAGAATCCGCACAAAGTCCAGACCTTTCTAGCTCAAAGAACAAGCTCAGAGCTTTACTAGGCTCCCCATAACGCACGTAGCCAGAAATCAAAGTATTCCAAGAAACTATACTTGGTTCAGGAATTTCAACGAACACCCTGTGAGCATCAATGATAGCCTCAAACTTCACATAGAGACTAATCATGGCACTAGAAACAAATACATCGGAAGCCCAGCCAGATTTCAGAACATGACAATGAAGCTGCTCACCATACATAAACCAACCCAAATTGGCACATTCTCGGATCGAGTGTACGAGAGCGAACGGGTCTAAGCTAGGACCAGATTTGTGTGCTTCGGGCTCAAGTGAGACAGTTTCAGAACCGAGCCCACCTTGGGCGGAGCGAGGGAGAAGGCTGGACCACAATCTGGCGCGATTACGGAGGGGAATATTGTTGATGCTGATGGTGCGGCTAAGGTTATTGGATACGGCATAACTAAGCTGATTTCCGTTTACGAGCGTGTTAAGGAAAAATGGTTTGTGCATTGCATTTCGATTATAGGAAATACTCCGTAGGTTATACTAGTAACTTATACTAGCAACACTCCGAGAAAAGTGAAAAGAAACATGTTCTACTCCGTATTATTTTAATGGTGATAATTCCCGCATCCATTTAAAAAAACGGAATATTATATCTATCATATATTTGATTGGTCCAAATCATTATATCATTTTTAATTTAGATTTAAATAATTCAACTGTATCAACCTGATTGGTCCATGTGTACAAAGGTATGATACTTTAATGGTACTATAGAATCTACCTTATTCTATACACTAATTGTTCTTCCGTTTATAGCATCAAATAGTAAAAAAAGGTTTAAACATGGCTAAATTTATGGTATTAATACAGTTTTAAAATGTAATAAAATTTATGAGTACAGGGTATAAAAGATCCTGGGTAGAGTTTATATATAGTATTCATATGTATGTGGAAAAAAGTGTACTGAATATACTATGTACATACTATATATACAGTTTGAACATTTTTACAAAAAATTTAGACTATGGTATAAAAGATACTGGGTATTGTTCATATATAGTATTTATATCCATATGGAATAATACAGAGTAAAAATACAGTTTAAATATGTAGTGAGATTTTTCAGCAGAAAGTATAAGAGATACTGGGTACAGATGATATATAGTATTCATATCCACAAGGAATATGGATAATAAGTAGGATTTATACCATCATGGTACTGATTAAAAGTGTATAAACTATATATGTACTATTCAATGTGTACTATGCATATACTGAAAATACAATTTCAATATGTAATATAATTTTATAGGACAGAGTATAAAACTTCATGGGTAAAGTTTACATATAGTATTCATACCCATATGTAATAGATAGTATGTACCATTTTTACCATCATGAGTTTGATTAACAATTTTAACATGTATCATATATATATATATATATATATATATATATATATATATATATATATATATAATTATTTTAGCAGTATGAATAAATACTAACTGTAATATTTGAATACACAGCAAAAAAGATAATGGTTAGAGTTTTACCAATTGGAAAATAGTGTAATAATTATGCTATGTATATACTGTAAATACAGTTTCAATATGTAATAAAATTTTGGAGTACAGAGTATAATAGATTTTGGGTATAGTTTATATATAGTATTCATATCCATATGGAAAAAAGTGTAGTAGTTATACTATGTATATATACTATAAATAATGTTTGAATACGTAATAAAAATATTGATTAGAGTATAAAGGATACTGGGTATGCTTGACATATACTATTCATATCTGTATGGAATAGACAATATGTAGTATTTATACAATCATGCCATCAAAATATACACGTATAAATAAGGTTGAGTAATAGTATTTATACCATGAATGTATATAAATATACATGATATACAGGTGTGTACACGTATAAATAGTATCTTATAAAGTGGTTATAGCATCAGTGCGTATAAATATTCATATATATATATATATATATATACATATATATATATATATACATATATATATATATATATACATATATATATATATATACATATATATACATAGTGTACGGTATTAGAAAATGTATTCATGCCATCAATGGATATAAATATATATGTGTACAGAATCATCGAAAGGCAAGGAACACACAGATTTCTGAGATTATTATCTGTAATGACCTTTCTCATCTATAAAGCTGAAACAAAAAAATTACTTCACCCACACCAAAAAGAATGTTCATCGGTCACCATACACAGATCTCATATTTGGAAAGATCTGGCCATGAAATGGTGTAATCGATGGGATTTTTGTATCCTCAAACAATACAGCTATCACCAGATCTATATATGTTATTCAAATTTTTGAAAACCGATTGGCAAAAAATAGGATATCCTTTGAAATGTAAAGCGTAAGCTTTGATAAGTTAGATGGATTTGTTAAACAGATAACAATAGCGCTGAATAACATGAGATCTGTGGAAATCGATATAAAATATACACATGAACTGATGAAAACAAACTAAATGTTTGAGGAAAACTTATGAAAAGGAGATATACCAAACGACTGAGATGCAGTCGCGGATTACTCGATGAAGCCAATTGATAACCGCCGATTAGGATCCTGCCTTAACACTGCACCATCCTAGACATGGCACCGGAAAAGCGGAAGACAATCGGAGCTAGACGAAGGGGTATAGGGAGGGGTAGGTTTTGTACGAAGATTCAGGGTTGCTGCTAGGGTTATAGAGAGCATAGGTCTGAGAGTGAGTGTAAGTTTGGGTCTATGTAACGGGTGAGTCTTCATATCCTTATACAGTTCGTGTTTGGGTAGGGTAGGGTTAGGAATTAATGTGGGCTGATAGGGTTGTTGGGTTGGGTAGGGTTAGGAATGAATATTTATAGCAATTGGGTTGATGGGTCCAAAAAGGCTTAGACCCCATTTCGTAGCACAAAAATCCGCTGTTTTGGCTGAAATTAATGAAGTTCTGGCTGAAGTGGTTGTTTTGGCTGTTTCTGCTGATTTAAGTAAAAAAATATTTTTAAAATATATTTTATTAATAAAATAAAGAAAAAATTATATATAAAAATAGCTAAAATGGTCATCTACGGTAACTTCAGCCAATACAGCCAGAAAAGTAACTATAACCTTACTTTTTCTGCTTATTACACAATTCAGCGCGCGAAAGAAAAAGTTACGTGTTTGGTGAAAAAGTTGGCTGATAAGCCTGATAAGCCGAAAAAAGATGTTGCCAAACGGCCTCTTAATTGGGTTCAATTAAAGTACAATTCAAGCTATAAATTATTGTTCCAGATTATTAGAGTATTCAAATTGTGATTTTAATAATTTTAATATAGATTAAAACTGGTAGATAAATTTTTAATAATAATGAGAAATTGTTAATTGAAACTCTGTAGTTGTTAATTGATGTTAATTGTATATAATATAAATTAGGAATTTTTAATTACCCAAAATATGAATTTATGTTTTTTACCTTTTTTTCTGCAGAAAACGACAATGGTAAGGTCGGTACTCATCATCCTTCACGATTTGTGGGAATTGGTTCCAGTTCTTCTAAATTCACAACAATTACAAACGGGGGATTCTCAAACGTTTTAGCAGATAGAACAAATGGTATGAAAATAAAATATTTTGTAATTTTCAATTAACGACGTTGTAATTTAATTTAAATGTAATATTTAATGTTTAAACAATTACAATGTCTAATATTACTTTGTAATATACTCTCTCCGTTCTTTTTATTAGTCCTCTTACAGATTTGTACGGGTTTTAATAATAAAGTAGTAGAGTAAGTGTAGAGTGTGCATGGTAAATGATAAAGTAGGAAAGATTATTATTAAAAAGTGTAGAGTAAAGTGATGGTAAAGTAGAAAATAAAAAGTAGTTTGTAAAAAGTAAGCAAGATAAAAGTAATAAAAGTGAGGGTATTTTCTAAAAAACTTTCCTTAAAGGGAAAGGAGGAGAAATAAAAAAAACGTCCTAAAAAGGAAAAAAGGACTGATAAAAAGGAACGGAGGGAGTAATAATATATATAGTATATTACAATATATATAGTTATGATATTGAATAATAATTTTTAATGTCAATGACTACATTGACTATATATTGAATATTTATATATACCAATGTTTTGAGATTTTAAACATTCTTAATTTTTATTTGTTAATTAATAATATTAATATTCATAATAATTGTTAATAATAATTTTTAATTGATGCAAATTGTAAATAAGAAGTTTATCAAATTTGGATTTATATGTGAATATTTAGATAATATAAAATAGAACTTGCCAAAAGAAATAACTCAATTTCTGTTTTTTTTTTCTGCAGAAAACGTTGATAGTAGGGTCAATAGTCTGCATCCTTCTCCACCTCTGGGAATCGATTCCAGTTCTTCTAAATTCACAAGATCAAGTGTAAAGGAAAGAATCTCTAACTTTTTTGCAGATAGAACAAATGGTATCTACTATCTCTTTTATATATTTATGACATATGCATGCGAGTACCATTCAATATTTATATGTACATGAATTTACATATAATTTAAAAAATATGTTTGTGTTGGTTTAGTATAATATAAAAAACACATAACCGAATAGTATTTTGATGAGGATGATTAAGTGTAATGAAAGACTTCATTTCTTTTGTGAAAATGTTTTCATAAAATCTTTTATAACTTAATTTAAAATCTTTTATGCATGGCGTATTTCGTGGTTTTGATATTGAGAAATGACAATTGTAGTGTTGCAGTCACCGTTCAACTCTTCTTTAGTATTGACCACACAAAATGTGAATGACATAGAACGTCCTGTTGGTATTGTACCACAACGCACATTGCCTGCCATTCATGATGTTCCCTCACAAACCAACGTTGATGAAGGTCCGAAAATTGCACAATTCAATTCCTCACACATGGTAATGAGTTGTTGCTTATTAATTTTTCCGTTTTGTAGGTATAATCAGCAGCGAATATTGGGACATTGGTGATCTCAGTTATGATTGTGAACACTGTGGGGCACTGTTTTGGTATGATGAAAGATTGCTGCGAAGTTCTACTATAGGAAGCACTAAGTATTCTCTATGATGTGGGCAAGGGAAGATAAAACTAGCACCTCAGAAAGAGCCTCCAAAAGAATTGTGTGATTTGATAAATGGCACAGATCAAAAATCCAAACACTTTCAAGAAAATATTCGATCATATAATAGCATGTTTTCTTTCACATCAATGGGTGGAAGGGTTGATCAAACAATCAACATTGGTGGCTCACCTCCAGTTTTTAAACTTAGTGGTCAAAACTATCATTTGATTGGGAGTTTGTTGCCTGTGGAAGGAAATGTCCCCAAATTTGCGCAATTGTATATCTATGACACTCAACATGAGGACGTTAATCGCCTCACCTCGGTGGGGTAATAACCTAATACAACATCAATTTGTTTTTTTTATTATGAGATTATGGGATTATGCTAAACAATATTGTACTTTTGTTTTGAAATGTTAGGGATGAGAAACGAAAGAAGAAATTGCATGTTGATATTGTTTCTACCCTAAGGCAAATGTTGGATCAACATAACGTTTTAGTTAAGTCTTTTAGGATGGCTAGAGACAAGATTGCGGAATGTGGACATTCCAATGTTTACTTGAAGTTAATTGGGCGGAGAAGTAGAGATGCTAGAACATACAATTTGCCCACGGTGTCTGAAGTGGCGGCTTTGATAGTTGGTGACTTCGATGAATCTTTGGGGCAGAGGGACATAATGGTCGAAACTCAAGGGGGTGTTTTGAAACGAATCAATGAGTTGAATCCTGCTTATTTGGGGCTACAGTATCCACTTCTGTTTCCTTATGGTGAAGATGGGTATAGAGAGGATATAAGTTTTTCAGATTCTAATAATAAAAGTACTAAAGGTCGCCGAAGTGTTAGCGTGCGGGAATTCCTTGCATATCGATTACATGATCGTGGGGTTGAGAATTCGTTTATCCTCAAAGCCCGGAGATTGTTTCAACAATTTGTGGTAGATGGATACACAATGGTTGAATCATCTAGACTAACTTATATAAGATTGAATCAGAAGCAATTAAGATGTGCCATGTATAAAGGTCTGTCCGAGGCATTATTGAGTGGTGAACGAGATGCTTCTACCCAAGGAAAGAGAATAGTGTTACCATCGACATTTGTTGGAGGAGCAAGATACATGGTTCAAAACTATCAAGATGCAATGGCCATATGTCGATGGGCTGGATATCCAGATCTTTTCTTGACTTTCACTTGCAATCCAAAATGGCCAGAAATTGTTAGATTCCTTTCTGAAAGGAATTTAAATCCTGAAGATCGCCCTGATATAATATGCAGAGTCTTCAAGATGAAGTTAGATGGATTGATCAAAGATCTCCGGCTAAACAAGATATTTGGTGATGTTCGAGCAGGTTAGCAATTTCTCTATTCTAAATGGTTAATAAACTAAGTGTTCATGTTATATATTAAAAATAATTCATTACAGTGCCTATTATTATTACATGCAGTTGTCTACACTATTGAGTTCCAGAAACGTGGCCTCCCACATGCCCATATATTGTTGTTCATGGGAAATGCAGACAAATTTACAGCTCCTGCAGATATAGATCGCATTATATCAGCCGAAATACCTGACGAGTCAAGTGATCCTGATTATTTCAATGCTGTAAAAATGCATATGATGCATGGCCCGTGTGGGAGAGATGCAAAAAACGCACCATGCATGGTCCAGTCTAAATGTTCTAAGCACTTTCCGAAGAATTTCAATGCGCATACTAACATTGACGAAGATGGTTATCCCAAGTACATGAGGCGGGATGATGGGAAGGAGATTGTGAAGAACACTATACCACTTGACAACAGACATGTTGTTCCACATAATAGGTATTTGTTGATGAAGTATGGGGCTCTTCTTAATGTCGAGTGGTGTAATCAATCAAGGTCTATCAAGTATCTTTTCAAATATGTGAATAAAGGTAATGATCGTGTCACAGCTGCATTTTATGAGACCACGAATAAGGATGGCTCGGAAAAACCCGTGGATGAGATTAAATTGTACTATGATTGCCGATACGTTTCACCATGTGAGGCTATGTGGCGTATTTTAGGGTTTGAGATACAATATAAGAATCCATCAGTTGAGCGTTTGAGCTTTCATTTTCCCGATGAGCAATATGTATATTTTGATGACGAGGATGCAATGACAGATGTTGTACAACGTGAATCTGTTAAACAAAACATGTTTCTGGCGTGGATGAAGGCCAATGAGCAGTATGCGGAGGCAAAAAAATTAACTTATGCCGAATTCCCTCAAAAGTTTGTTTGGAAGCCAAAAACAAGGGAATTTGTTCCTCGACAAAGGGGTTTTGCTTTGGGTCGTGTGGCATATGTACCTCCAGGATCAGGAGAATCTTATTATTTGCGATGTATCCTCAATTTAAAGCGTGGTGCTACGTCTTTCGCCGACTTACGAACTGTTGACGAGGTTTGTTATGAAACGTATCGTGACACGTGTTACGCATTGGGTTTGTTGGACGATGATCGAGAGTACGTCGAAGGTTTTACGGAAAGCAGTTTTTGGGCTTCTGCTTGGGGACTTAGAGTTCTATTTGTAATATTGCTACTGGCAGATACAATGAGTAGACCTGAATACGTTTGGGACAAATGTTGGAATTTTATGTCTGATGACATTCTTCATAGACAACGACGAGCTTTGCTACACCCAGGTTATTAAAACTTACAGCTTATTTATTTTTAACTATATTATTGTTTTTAATAAGGTAAATACAATTGTTGTGGAATTAAATGTTCATATTTTTTATTGTAGACTTAACGTTGACAGAAGAAGAAATCAAGAATTATGCATTGGTCGAAATAGAGACAATGTTAAGAACTCGCGGAAAAAGCCTAAGGGACTACCCATCAATGCCATTCCCCAATTGCAGTAACGCAACCATGTTTCAGAATAGACTTATTTATGACGAGTTGCAATATGATAATGCCGAAATGCGGGAACAACATGACAAATGCATGCAGAGTTTGAATGAGCAGCAAAGTGAGGTGTACAAGACTATTATGGAATCTATTGAAGGGAACAATGGTGGAGTGTTCTTTGTATATGGGTACGGGGGTACAGGCAAAACGTTTATTTGGAAAACGTTGTCAGCGGCTCTAAGGTCAAAAGGTGAAATAGTTTTAAACGTTGCTTCAAGTGGAATTGCTTCATTGTTATTGCCCGGTGGAAGAACTGCTCACTCACGTTTTGCGATACCAATCAACCCAACTGAGCATTCCACATGCAACATCAAGCAGGGCAGCCCATTAGCCCAATTGATTATTAGGTCTAAACTTATTATTTGGGATGAGGCACCGATGACGCATAAATATTGTTTTGAAGCTTTGGACAGAAGTTTGCGTGACATTCTGAGGGTTGTTGATCCTCTTAACACTGATAAGCCATTTGGAGGGAAGACTATAGTCTTTGGAGGAGACTTCAGACAAATCTTACCGGTGATTACCAAAGGTACAAGACAAGACATAGTTAATGCCACAATTAATTCTTCATACATATGGCATGACTGCATGGTTTTACGCTTGACGAAAAACATGAGACTGCAATCGTTGAGTGGCGATCGTGATTATGCTGACTTGGTTGAGTTTGCTGAGTGGATAGCGAGTTTGGGAGATGGAACGGCAGGTGGTCAAAATGATGGTTGTGCTGATATCAAAATACCAAGTGACATTTTGCTCCAAAGTGATGAAGACCCTATTGCCACAATTGTGCGCAGTACGTATCCTGATTTTGAAGCGATGCCGACTGACCCCTCATTCCTAAAAGAACGTGCTATTTTGGCCCCAACGCTTGATGTTGTTGACTCAATTAATGAGTACATGACTGCATTGAATGTAACAGAGGAGTCCAGGACATATTTGAGTTCTGACAGCATTTGCAAATCGGACTCAAATTCTGATTTTTTGGCTGATTTGCATACACCGGAATTCTTGAATAAGATACGTGCATCCGGTGTTCCAAATCATGAGTTGACTCTCAAGGTTGGTACTCCAGTTATGCTTCTTAGGAACATTGATCATTCAATGGGCTTATGCAATGGCACGAGGTTGATTATTACAAGGCTTGGAAATCATGTTCTTGGAGCTACAATTTTAGGAGGTAAATTTGATGGTCAAGAAGTAGTCATACCGAGATTGACACTAACACCATCTGATGCAAGAATTCCATTCAAGTTCCAAAGAAGACAGTTTCCCATCATGACCTCTTATGCGATGACAATAAATAAGAGTCAGGGTCAATCTCTAACGCATGTTGGACTTTTACTGAAAAAACCAGTCTTCACTCATGGTCAACTATACGTTGCAGCGTCTAGAGTTACAAACCGCAAAGGCTTGAAAATATTGATTTGTGATGAGGATGGCAAACAGATCGACCATACTACAAATGTTGTTTACAAAGAGGTCTTTCAGAATTTGTAGTATCGCTGTATCTTGGAGCTTCTACAATTTTTCTGACCACTTCGTACTTTGAAATGTTATATCTCTTTTTTATTGAATACATTTGTCTTTGCCAAAAAAACATATTACGTTGGCCCGTCTTCGTCACTATCTCAATCTCTCTTTTATTTTATTTTCAATTTTTTGGCCTTTTAATAATAAACTTCTTAATCACAAATTGGTAAATATTCATCCGCGCATCGCGCGGGTGAGAATCTAGTACTAGCAACACTCCGAGAAAAGTGAAAAGAAACATGTTCTACTCCGTATTATTTTAATGGTGATAATTCCCGCATCCATTTAAAAAAAAGGAATATTATATCTATCATATATTTGATTGGTCCAAATCATTATATCATTTTTAATTTAGATTTAAATAATTCAACTGTATCAACCTGATTGGTCCATGTGTACAAAGGTATGATACTTTAAGGGTACTATAGAATCTACCTTATTCTATACACTAATTGTTCTTCCGTTTATAGCATCAAATAGTAAAAAAAGGTTTAAACATGGCTAAATTTATGGTATTAATTAGTCACAACATTATAATAGTGATTTTTTTGCCTTGAATATGACTAAATTGTTCATTAAATTCCAAAATGGGACTATGTATAATTTTATTACCCAAATAGGATTGAATTACCCATTTACCCTTAATTACTTCCCCAAATCCCTGCTGCGCACTTCCATCCATCCTCACCCCTACGCAAATCATCGACCATCCCCTTCCCTGCGCAACATTTTTCCTCCCTGCGCACGTCTCCCTCACCTGCTCATCTTTTCTCTCCTTCCCTTCGTAGAATAACCGACCTAGAAGACCAGTCGCGAAGTCAACCTCCATCCTCACCTACATCGCCGCCCCCGTCGCGAAGTCCACTGCTGTCGCCGTCACGAAGTCCACCGCTGTCGCCGTCGTGAAATCCACCGCCATCACTGTCACAGATGGTATTCTTCTTCCCCATGCTCAGTTTCTTCTTTGATTGTTACAAAATGCCAAGTAAAACTCTGAAATGCCATAAAAATGGCAATCTTTGCCTTCAAAATTTTTTGTTTTTTCCTTAGAAAATGTCATTAGTATGGCAGTTTCATAAAAATCTTGGCATTCACGCCGGAAACAGCCAGATCTGCAACTGAGGAAGTCAAATTTGTTGCAGAGATGCTGGATAAGGTGCGATGGTGGTTAGATCTGCAGGGGCAGCCGCCGAAAAGCTGATGGATACTAGAGCTGGCCAGATCTCCGGAGAACCTCGACAGATCTGCATCGGCGGCGGCCAGATCTGCATCGGCGGCGGCCAGATCTGCAACAACGTCCAGTTTTTGAGGTGACAACGATGTCCGGCGACCGGCGGCGACCGGCGGTGATCGGCGGTGACTGGTAGAAACCGGCGAGTCGCAGTGGTCCAGTGATCTGGTCGGTGGCATATGGCTTCTAAGCATCAAGGCCATTTTTGTCCGGTTACAAATTATAACTCCTATTTAGGAACTTTTTAGACTTTAGTCCTATTTTGACAATTAAAGACTAATTTACTCCTATTTAGGTAAATACCTCTATAATAGTCCGTATTTAGGATGTCTTTACTTCAATTTATTTCAATCCCACATCAATTTATCACATAGTAGACTAAGGATGTTTTCTTTTGGACTGAAATTTGCTGGTCTAGTCTGGTCTGTTTAAGTTTGGTCTGGTCTGGTCTGAACTGGTCTGATCTAGTCTGGTAAAAACGTTTGATCTCTGTGTATTTTATAACTACGAAAGTCTGGTCCGGTCTTGTCTGTTTAAGTCTGGTCTGGTCTGGGATTGAAAACAATCCAAAAGAAAACATCCTAAATCAAATCTGACCAAATTATATACTTAAACAAGCTAGCCTGACCTAAATTATATACAAACCACACATCTATTAGACCAGATCGGTTACAAGTGTTAACCTAAGGTTCTCATTTTGTATTTTAAAAAACAATTAATACTCGTTAAATAACAAATTAATCAAATAAAATAATATACCCATAGTAATCATCACATTTATCATCAACGACTTCACTATGTTATATACCTGTCAAAATTATTTCACAAAAGATATACTCAAATTACCTTATTTAATTTAATTTAATTATTGTTTAAATAATCGTGTCATTAGACTTAAATTTTATGGTCTCAAAATTTGATAGGTTTAAGTATTAGTTGTTTTTTAAAATACAAAAATTATTTATTTTTTGAATTTTAAATTCAGCGTATCGGATCGAGCAGTTTGGACTGAGAGCGGCTAAACCCATTAACACTTGATGACTCGAAATTTTGAGTATTTGAGTAAAATTGAAGTGGATGTAACGTGTTGGGTTCCTTCCTTAATTGAGAAATTAATGAGAATTCTAGAATAGTGCGGAGATGTCTAGAATTCTCTAGATGTGTGTAGAGAAGTATTGAATGTTCTAGAATATTCTGGAGCTTTCTAGAGAGACGTGGAATTATCTACAAGCGTGTGGAAGAGTGTAGAATATTCTAGAACATTGTGGAGTTTTCTAGAGAAGTGTGGAAATCTCTAGAATCGTGCGGAAGTGTGTGGAAGCATCTAGAACATTCTCAAGCGATGTGTAGTTCGCTAGATCCTTCTAGAAGATTAGAGAAGCTTGTGATAGTTCTTGGAAGAATCTAGAAATGTAGTAATGTATAGAAAGTTCTAGAGAAGCTTTGAAAAGAGTTGTATAAATAGGGGTGAGACTCCTCATTCCTAAATGAGAGCCATGAGGAGGCATTAAGAGAGAGCCTCATGTGAGTGAGCCTAGAGAGAGAGCCTCCTCAAGTGATGAAAGAGAGAGACTTGAGGAGAGCTCTTGAGTGAGGGAGAGCCTCCTTGAGAGAGGAGGGTGAAGTAGTCCCATATGCAAAGAGTGATGTGAGCTACTTGTTTACTTGTAAAATATCTCTTGTACATTTCAATTGTATAATACAAAGTGATATTGTTAGATTGATCCTTTGTGTTACGAGTGGATAGGTGAGTGTACAAGAGTCCGTTGAGCTTGTGATCCTGGAAGAAGTCGGGGGATCGTACTTTTCCCATAACGTGTGCATGGGATTCAAACACGCGATACATGCAAACCCATTGCCGCACGGTGTTGTTTGTTCAATTGTGTATTTGGTTACTCTTATAGTTTACGTTCTTAACATTTATCAATAGCATCAATTTTGAATGTGAAGTTCACGTAGTCTCACTTATGTGTTAAACCTCTCAAATTTTAATTCTATACGCTGAATTATGTAATCAGGGGTGTAGCGTAGCTATGGGAGGTTCGAGGCCCTGGCCTGGGTAGTAGTGTATATATTGATGTTCAGTGAATTTATGGTTAGTTTATTAGTCATTTTGAAGTACTACGTACGCAACTTCGTGTGTTTATTGCATTTGAACCTAGTGTCGTTTAATAATACTCAAATTTAGTGAATCTTTTGAATGCATTTGAATTCCTGTTTAAGCGTCTCTAGTAGTGAACGAATTAACTGAAACTAAGAAAAAAAATACATTTAAAATGTGTATTACATCAGTCTCTTAATATTTTGTGATCAATTTCTTACTTTTGAAGACAATATGGTAATAAACGTGACTTTGAGTAATGATTCTAAATTCTAAATTCTAAAGACCGCAGACTGGGCCAGTACAAAAAAAAATTGAAAATAAAAAATTACACGGAATTTTTTACATGAAAAATATGGGCATTTTTAAAATTCGGGCTGGGCTGGGCCAGGGCTGGCCTTCCCGAGTTTTTTCCTGAAATAATGCTAATTAAATAAATAATTCCCAAAATACTGTTGGGTTAAAAATAATTCCCAAAATACTGTAGGGTTAACCGTGGTTAAGAAAAGCCGCCACTTGAAGTGGCGGCTCTTCTCTTACAGTACAAAAGCCGCCACTTCAAGTGGCGGCTCTTCTCTTACAGTACAAAAGCCGCCACTTCAAGTGGCGGCTCTTCTCTTACAGTACAAAAGCCGCCACTTTAAGTGGCGGCTCTTCTCTTACAGCACATTTTGTACATATATAAAACGCAGTATGTTTCAAGATTTTTTTTTAACTATCTTCCCGAATGAATTTTGAGCTCAAATTTAGTATGAATAAACTAGACTTGATGAGTAACATGCTAAAAAACATTTCATCAAAAAATTCCACTGGGAAGACCCTCTGATGGTGTTGTCTGCACGGGGGTTCCGGTCAGGACGTCATGAAAATTATAGGACATTTTTATGAAATTTAAGGTGCTTCCGAGTTGATTTTGTTGATGACATTTGATGATCATGTTCTTCCTAAAGTGTAGATTATGTTCACCGAATTTCAGATTAAATTTAAATCAAGAAGTTAGTTAAATTATTTAAATAAATTTTTAAAAAATGCATAATTTTTTCGGCCTAAAAATGCAGCTTTTTTCAATAAATTATTTAACTAACTTCTTGATTTAATTTTAATCTGAAATTCGGTGGACATAACCTACACTTTAGGATGAAAACGATCACCAAATTTTATCAAAAAACTTGACTCGGAAGCCCCTCAAATTTCATAAAAATGTCTCATTCCTGTCACAACGTCTTGACCGGAACCCCCGTGCGGACAACACCATCAGAGGGTCTTCCTGGTGAAGTTTTTCGAGAAATATTTGGTTCACCTATGGCGTCCTTAGATAATATCATCATACTAAAATACGAGATTCAATTAACTAATTAAGTTTTGTCACTGGCTCATTGATAGCTGACAACTTTTAGAACACGTTTACTTCACGGGTTACTAAATTGTGTTTATTAAAACTCACATTAATAAGCGGTGCATAATTAAGCAGTGTTGTAATAAGAACATGTTTACTCCAAAAGATTTAAAACACCCCTTTAACATTAAAATGTCCAAAGTCACTCTATACATATATAAACACATAAACATCCATGAACACAAGTATATAATATAATATGTGGAGGTACCCTAACCCCTACCCCACCCTACCCTACCCCCACAACCTTAACCCCTACCTCTTCCTTACCCCT